AAATTAAAAAAAAATAATCTGAAAAATTTGCGTGTTTCAAACAGATTTCTTTCTTTAGAGGATTAAAAATAGATCCACAGCTTTACGATTGTTTGTCTTAATTCAAAATGCCAGACTTATGTCTTCAGACAGACTTATGTCTTCAATTTTGTTGTTGTTATTAATGTTTATGTCTAATTAATTGTAACGTTGAACTTGTAATGTGGGCGAGTAAGAGTCTGATATCGGAGATAACAAGATTATCGATTTATGGGGGCCATGATAAATGGCAACAGAAGTGATTTTTTTCATATACAAAATTAGAAAGAAATAAATTAACGGAGATTTATGAATTAAACCACTTTTTATACCCTCCATCATTAGGTGGAGGGAGGGTATATTAAATTTGTCATTCCGTTTGCAACACCTTGAAACATTTACCGGAGACCTGATAAAGAATAGATGTTCTATATCAAGATAAAATTCGATGTCGATTTATCGGTTGAAATCATGATGGAGATTTTACGTTTTGCACAAACTTTGCTGTTACTTCTAGAATGTTTGGTATTGAAAATAAGATATATCGGTTCATATTTTGGTATAGCTTTCATATAACGGTATCCCCATATATATTCGGAATCTTGGAACTTGTAAGCACGTTTCTCAACCGAAATAGCTGCAGTACTAAATGTGATGCCATTTGTATTTGGCGAACCGGTGGAGCTAGAACCCTGAAATTTGGTTTGGTGGTCGATGATGGAGTGTAGGATAGATGTAGCAAAGGGTTTTTGGAAATTCGAACTATAACTATCCGAAAAGTACGTAAATGTACTAAATTTGGTGCAATTCTGTAGCATGTGAACGGATAGAGCTAAAAGCTTGGAATTTGAAATGCGAATTAGGGTTGGGAAGTAGGGTCGATATAAGGAGATGGTTTTGAAACCTTGTACTCATGTGTACGAAAAGTACTATATGGTACTATATTTAGTACAAATTTAATTTAGAGGTACAAATCGAGCTGGAATTCTGAAAATTGATATTAACATTACCGTCGGAGTATAGGATTGGGATATGTACGTAGTTACAATTTGAATATTAGGTGAAGCAATTGAGCTAGAATCATGAAATTTGGAGTCAGGATCATTGTTGATGTGTATGATTGAGATATCTAGGGAGATTTAGAAATTTGTACTAATGTGTACTAAATTTGGTACAATTTAAATTGTGGGTGAACCGATGGAATTGGAATCCTGAAACTTGGATTTAGGATCACTGTGGGGGTGTTAGTTTGAGTTAAGTAGGAAGTTTTGGAAATTAGTACAACCGATAGAGTTGGAATCATGAAATTTAGATTTTGGAGCACTGTGGTGTTGGTTTGGGTTAAGTTGGAAGTTTTTGAAATTCGTACTAAATGGTACTAAATTTGGTACAATTTGAATTTTAGGTGAACCAATTGAGCTAGAATCATGAAATTTGGAGTCAGGATCATTGTTGAGGTGTAAGATTGAGATATGTAGGGAGTTTTAAAATTTTGTACTAATGTGTACTAAATTTGGTACAATTTAAATTGTGGGTTAACCGAGAGAGTTGGAATCCTGAAACTTGGATTTAGAATCAGTGTGGGGGTAGGATTGGGGTATGCAAGAAGTTTGGGAATTAGTACTACTGTGTACTAAATTTGGTACAATTTGAATTGTGAGTGAACTGATAGAGTTTGAATCCTAAAACATGGATTTAGCATCACTGTGGTGTTGTAGGATCGGGGTATGTAGGAAGTGTTGAAATTTTGTATTACTGTGTACTAAATTTTGTACAGTTTGAATTGTGGGCGAACCGATAGAATTGGTATCATGAAACTTGGATTTAGGATCATTGTAGGGGTGTAGGATTGGGATATGTAGGATGTTTTAAAAATTCGTACAAATGTGTACTAAATTTTGTACAATTTAATTTTTTGGTGAACCAATACAGCTGGAATCCTGAAATTTGGAGTTAGGGTTACAGTTTCAGAATAGTACCAAATGTGGATTTGAGTATACCGATAGAGCTAGAATCTTGAAATTTGAAGTTAGGATCATTGGATTGCATGATTTAGGTAGTAATGGAAAGTTCGAATGTGTATTAAATGGCATTAAACAAATTGGATTTAGGTGAACCGATAGAATCCTGAAATTTGAAATTAAGATTGAGGTATGTGGGAAGTGTTGGAAATTCGTATGTTAATGTAGGAAGTTATGGCAATATATATATTTATGTTTACTAACTGGCACTTAATTTGGATTTGGGTGAAGCTATATTTAAAATTTGGAAATTTAAATTTGAAAATTTAAGGGTAAAAAATGACACCAAATTTTGTATAGAGTTTGATTTCTTTTGCGGTCAGAATTTGTGTGTAGGGTTGAGTACTAAAAGTGTTAATATTGGTTGGTATTGGGTTTTAAATACTTCCCACATTCGCTGACGAAGTAGCGGGTATATGCTAATTGGGTATAAAATCTTCCCGCCAAAAATAATCATAATTGGTTTACGTTTTGGTATAGTCCCCATATAAACCTACCACACAAGTTTATGTACTTTTATTTTTCAAACTGATGGGACTACAAATTGCCATTCCGGGTTCTTGGAAGGTAGACAACATTTTTGCAGAAAAATGTCGTTTTAGGTTCAAGCTTTGTTTTTGTTTTTTGCCAAGTTTTTTCTGAGCCGTGGATTTTTTAAATAATATTTTGTTCAAGGACCATCTGAGGCGTGGATTTTTAAAAATATTTTTTCATAGATCAATCTAAGAGTGGATTTTTAAAGAATATTTTTCAAGGGTTCCTTTTGAGAATATGCATAAAATCACTTTCTTAGACGATTTATGCATGTCCGTCCGTCCGTCCACGTATTTTTGTGAGCAAAGTACAGGTCCCATTTATGATCCGAATGGGATGAAATGTGGCACAGCCCATTTGTTTGGCCCGATGACGAGCCCTATATGAAAATAAAATCGGTGCAGATTTTGATATAGCTCCCATATATATATTCGTCCGATTTTATATAAATAGTGCGCCAAGTTTCCAATATTTGTCCGATTGAGACAACATTTTGCACAGCGTACTGAAATATGTCCAATTTGATGTCTGTGAAGTTTTGTAAAAATCGGTTCAGTTTTAGATATAGCTCCTATATATAGCTTCGTCCGATTTTATGTAAACCACCAAACTCTCAATTTTTTCCGATTGTGACAAAATTTAGTATAACGTATGGAATTGAGACTAGAATGGAGTGTGTTAAATTTCATTGAAATCAGACCAGATATAAATATAGCTCCCATATATAGCTTCGTCCAATTTTATGTTAATGGATCACCAAACTCCCAATTTTTGTCCGATTGTGACGAAATTTGGCATAACTTATGGAATTGAGACTAGAATAGAGTGCGTTAAGTATCACTGAAATCGATTCAGATTTATATACAGCTCCAATATATATAGTTTCGCCCGATTTTATGTGAATTGATCACACCTTTAATTTCGCCCGATTCCAATGCAATGGTCCTACAAATATTCTATGTATGTTCTATCTAAGGAATATAGTTATATTAACATCTCTTGTATGTGCCCAAAGTTGTGAAGGGTATTATATAGTCGGCCCGTCCGACTTTTGATATTTCTTTACGGTAAATAGTATTTTTTTCAAGTGGATTTTTTAAAGAAATATTCGACAAGAGTCTTCGAAAGCGTGGATTTTTAAATGCAAAGTTTGTAAGTGAATTTTTAAAGAAAATTTTCGGCAAAGTCCATCCGAAGTGTGGGGTTTTTAAAGAAAAATCTTCTAAGACCACGCGCTGTGTAGATTTTTAAAGATTATTTTTTTCAGCAGCCATCCGAGTTGAGGATTTCTTAAAGAATACTTTTTCAAGGACATAGACCATAGGTATATATTTTTAACGAATATTTCTCAAGGACCATGAAAACAGTTTTTAGAGAATATTTTTGTAGACTATCCGAATCGAGAATTTTTGAAGAAGAGGGGCCATCCGAATCATATATTTTTCAAGAATATGTTTATGGGTAACCCGAGCTCAGATTTTTGAAGAATTTTTTTTATGGATCCCCGAAAGGTAGATTTTTAAAGAATATTTTTAAGGAACCCATGGACCCCCGGAGCGTAGATTTTTAAAGAATATTTTTTATGGGCGCCGGAGCGTAGATTTTTTATGGACTCCCTCAGCGTAGATTTTTAAAGAATATTTTTTATGGGTCCCGGATCGTAGATTTTAAAGTATGTTTTTTACGAACCGCCTGAAGCGTAGATTTTTAAATAATATTTTTTATGGACCCTCCGAAGTGTAAATGTTTAAAGAATATTTGTTATGGATTTTTAAGGAATATTTTTTATGGACGTAGATATTTTAGAGAATTTTTCATATTTAATTTTTTTCAAAACCCAGTTGAATCGCGGATTTTAAAGAATATTTTAATTAAAAACCATACACCAAATTAAATATATCACATTATGTTGACCGTACCGAACTTTTTATACCCTCCACCATGAGATAAACATTCAAAATGCCTACATTCGATCAGGAATTTTAGATAAAGGCTATGATATTGTAAATAGCTGATAGGAGAAAACGAAGTGCCAAATTACAGACACTTAGGTTGAAAATTGGGCTAAGACCTTGAACATACCAAAAATGACCCATGACCTTTGTATGAACGTGTATTGAAAATGTTATCTGAAGACGTATATACCATCTATGGGATTGGGTTTTTTATGGGACCTTTACCGAAACATCGAATGGAAATTAATATTTATTTAAATAGCTGATAGGAGAAAGCGAAGTGCCAAATTACAGACACTTAGGTTGAACATTGGATTAAGACCTTGAACATGCCAAAAATGACCCATGACCTTTGTATGAACGTGTATTGAAAATGTTATCTGAAGACGTATTTACCATCTATGGGATTGGGTTTTTTATGGGACCTTTACCGAAACATCGAATGGAAATTAATATTTATTTAAAAAAAATATTATTCATCTACACATCGTTTTGATTTTAATTGACAACATGGTGTTTCCGTAGACAGATAAGTCATGCCACATGGTTGACAAACTAACAGAGTTGGGGATTTCTGTTTCTCCATCGTGGGATTGACAATAATTTTTCGTCTACTAAATGATACCCTTCTTTTGGGTTTTCTTTTCTTTTTAATCAAATTCAAATCCTGCATTTCCTGTTCAACAACAGCGTCTTGATCTTCTTTAAATTCCTCTTCCTCTCTTGCAGGATCTTGATATTCCCAGAAATGGCTAACTTTCACTTCCGAATTTAATTCCTCCTTCGATTCATTAGAATCTTGAGAGTTTCTTAATCGCTTTTTTGTGCGCTTCATGGAAGTTCGCCGATGTTTTGATTTTCTAATGGAGGGTTGAGATTTGAGTGGGGGTCTCTCCTCCCTCGGCTGTGGCCATTCAAATATTTTACTTGTTGGCACCAAATCACGAATATCAATTCGTTTACCCTTGTCCGACATTTTCAATATGTCTTCATTGATAATGGGTGTTTCACCCGGTATCACCTCCGTCATTTTATATTGACTTTTCATAGCGGACCGAACCAAACGCTCCAATTCCCTTTCACCATACGATGATGAACGTTTATTTTTTAGGCTGCGTTCTTTTTCTTCCTTTTCTCTTTTAAGGCGTTCCGCTTCTAAGGCCTTTTGTTGTTCCATTAGATGTTGTTTTTGTTTGCGATCCTTTTGTATACGATCACGTATCATTTGGGATTGTGTTTTAATCAAATTCCGAAAATATTTGTCATCATATACAGAGGGTTTCCTTTTCGGCGGGGCGGTTGGTGTGGGAATTGTCTCGTCAGCATCGGTCGAATACGAAGGTTTACTGGTACTGTGACGTGGTATTTGAAAATAATTGGAATTTTTTCTTAACAAGTGTATGGATTTGAAAGTGTCTTTATCCAGAGGTCGTTGAATGTTGATTTGTCTGCCTTTGGTTTTGAATTTTTTGAATTGGCGGCGCATATCTTCCAAATTGGCAGTAGGATTCTTTGGGATTGGCTTATCGAGAGGTGGTGATTTTTTGGATAATGTTTTCCTTGGCTTCAATAAAGCTTGAGATGAAGTGGAGGAAGAAGTTTTGGGTTGTCTTTTTCGATATTTTTGTTTGGGTTTATTTTTAGTTGTTGATAACCTCCTTTTAGCCATAGAGGATCGACTGGATGGGGTGATTGTTGAGCTAGAACTCTTTTTACTTCCCCTTGATCTCTTGGAATGCCTTGTTTTAGTAGACGCTCTTTTAGAATCCCCAATTGGTATGGGTTCTTTTTTACCCTTGCCCCGGCTGGCCATGGTAACTGGAGACTTTTTACCTACCAGAAAATCAAAGGGCACAAATTTATGATTTTTACTGATTTTGGCAATTTTTATAATTTTTCTAACCAAACTTTGCAAACTTTCACTGTGACCCCGTTCTGAGGAACTTTTCAAACGCAGCGACTTCTTGGTTCTTTTTATGCTAAGGGTACCAGAAGAAGTTTTGCTGGTTGACTTTCCGGAATATGACGAATTTCTATCAACAACCAAAGTCTCTCCCAGATGTGAGGCTCTCTTTTTCAAACTTTTTCCCACATTTATCAGAGATTTCTTTTTGGTTCGTAACCCATCAATACTGGAACGTAAATGTTCAATTTTCTGCTGTACAACTTCGTGTTGACTTTTCATTTGCCAGATTTTGTTCTTCAATTTCTTCATAGCAGGATGTTGACGTTTGGTTCTTTTTTTCAACAATTCCTTTCTTCTCCTCGCAGCTCTCAATTCCCTTAAGTAAATTTTCCTATCTTCTCTACTCACCCCTGCCATTGCATGCAGTCTTCTCAAACGTTCTCTTCTCACTAAATTTTTGATCCTCATTTCTCTCCTTAACTTTTTTCTTTTCTTCTTACGTTGTTCCAAAATTCTCTCCAATGTTATTTGCAATTTCTTTTTCAATGTTTTTTTACTCTTTAATTTTCTGCGAAATTTCCGAATTTTCTTTGCGCAGCGTAATCGCAATAAACGATTTCGTTTGATTTTCTTTTGTATCCATTTCAATTGTTTCTTTTTTCCGAGTATTGAAAATTCGAATTCTTTATTTTTCTCCCAAGCAATTTCACGATTTAAATTAAAGATTTTCCTTTTGCGTTTGATTTGTCGTTGTTGTAGCGTTTCAATGGTTTTGATGACATTTTTCAATTCGGCTTTTGTCATTTGAGGATTGGAAAGGGAATGGAAACAAAGGGGTTTAGAACAGAAAATAAATAGCAGAATGTGATTTAAAAAGAAATATGAAAATAGTTTAGAAAATCAACCAATACCCTTTTACATAAAGAAATTAACATTTTGGAAACAAAAATATTTAATTAGTTTGCAGATAGAAAAAAACATCGAGTAAGTTGAAGATAAGTTCCAAGTTGCCATAACAAAATCAAATAGATATTCAATCGAAAAATTACGCTAATAATCTGAAAGTAGGTTAATTTAGGGCTATGTTCAAAATTTCATTACATTATATCATAAAATTGATTCAGATATTTACCAATGGATGACGCTGTTCCTGTTTTTCTGTAGCACAGCCACAAACCAGTAGCAGTGAAATGGAGTTAACACCCTGTAATTGAGATTGTCACCCTGTGATCGAGCTATTAATTACCTTTTTATACCCTTCACCACACTGTGGTACAGGGTATTATGTCTTTGTGCATATGTTTGTGACAGGCAAAAGGAAACGAGATAGAAACATGGTTCCTTTTGAGAATATGCATAGAATTACTTTCTAAGGCGATTTATGCATGTCCGTCGTTTTGTCTGTCCATGTTAACTTGTAAACAAAATGCAGATCGCATTTAATTTTCTAATTGGATGAAATTTGGCACAGCTCATTCATTTAGCCCAAAGACGAACCCTATTAAAATTCAAGAAAATCGGTTCAGATTTAGATATAGCTCCCATATATATATTTTCGTCCGATTTAAGGTAAATGGTGCGCCAAAGTCCCTAAATAGCTTTCGATTGGCACGAAATTTGGCACAACGTACGGGATTAAGCTTAGAATGATGTGTGCTAAGTTTCGTGAAAATCGGTTCAGATTTAGATATAGCTCCCATATATATTTTCGTCCGATTAAAGGTAAATGGTGCACCAAAGTCCCTATCTATCTATCTATCGATTTACACGAAATTTGGCATAGCGCACTAAATTAAGTCTAAATTGATGTGTGTTATGTTTCCTAAAAACCGGTTCAGATTTAGATATAGCTCCTATATATAGTTTCGTCCGATTAAATGCAAATCCTTCGATTTGCACGAATTTTGGCATAGCGTACTGAATGGTGTGTCTTAAGTTTTGGGAAAATCTGTTCAGATTTACATATAGCTCTCATATATATTTTCCTTCGATTTAAACAAATTAAATCTAGAATAACCTATATTGGATTAATGTGTACATATGTTGATATATACGCTTATATCGTGTGAGTTCGTGCAAATGTTGCACCAAATAATAGCCATTACAGTATTCCCCGCTTAATTACCTCCACATTTAATTACCTTTCACGGTTAATTAATCCGATTTCAGAATACCTAGTTATTTTAAGTACAATCCCTTACAAAATTGCACGTTTAATTACCCCCTTTTAATTACCCATTTCATTTATTTGCCCCTAAATAACCGACCCCAAAGTAACCGTACCTTTAAATCTGTTCCATGTAATTACCCAATGTATTTATTTAAATCTGGCAACTTCATTTAAAATGGCTTACATTTTCTAGTGCACTTGCCACACATGTGCACATAAAATCTATTGTTTTGAATGTTTTCGTGAAATGTCTCCCAGAAATACATCTTTGTCTATCAAACTAAAGCTCCAGTTAATATCTCAAGCAAAAAAGAAAGAAAAAACAAAACACCAATGTCCTCCGATATTTACCCTTGCTGGGTATTTAACCGGGGTCCACGGATAATTACCCTAGCGAGGTAAATAACCGTGCTTGCTTAATTACCTTCCACGGATAATTACTCAAAAATCTTGAAATTTTCACTGAGGTAATTAAGCGGGGTTTACTGTAGTACGTTGACATTGTACTGGATTTCGTTAACCTAGTCGTTTCTTAACTGTAATCTACATTGCATATATGTCAAATAAATCCTTATAAAGTTGATTAACCCTGAAAAAAGTTCGAATGTAAATGCCGTTTAAATGTAGGAGGCTATGTTGAAAATTATAATAATTTTAAGGTTGACAGAAAAATTAAGCAAAAAATAATTTTCATTGAACAAGACCTAATAAATTCGGAAAACACCTCCTATTAACCTAAAAGTAGGGAAATTTGGGGCTACATTCAAAATAAATAAATAAAACATAATTCAGATATTTACCGCTAGATGACACCCTGCTTGTTTTTGCTGTAGCATAGACCCAAACCCTCTGTGATCGTAGCTTTATCAAGGATCACAGGGTGTTAACTAAATTTCAACTTTTAAATAAAACCATTCCTAAACATTTTTTTTCTGAAATGAGACGAATTAATATATGGGCGTGCATATTTTTGAAGGTCCTTTGAGTGTGGATTCTTTATTAAATATGTTTTGAAAGAATAAGCCCGGATAACAAATCGAATCATCTATTAGCAACATTTCAACTTTCAGATATTTTTATTTAATCGTTCATCTTTAGAGTGAAATCATAAAAATTCAAAACCAACAACCCTTTTTATGTTTCTTCTTTATATACAAGATTTTTTCGAAAGATATGTCGCAAAACATTTACCATCATAAATGTGATTTCAATCACAAAATATTACATGACGAACAATCTCCGATAAAATAGATAGTAAATACAAAAAGAAAGCGGAAACGTTTGTATCGATAAGTTTATTATTAATGGGAAAGGATAAAGAAATAAAAAGGTATACCGAGTAAAAAGTTCATTAAGATCGACCGCGCCGAAATGTTTAAATCCTCTACCATGATTCGATCGGAACTATTATATGGGAACTGGTAAATTCCTGCCAGGAGAAAAAAACGAAATACCAACCTACAGACATAAATATGGGATAATTGGGCAAGAACTGTTTAAGGGTTTTCCGAAATGAAATTGTTCAAGGTTCTTGCCCCAAAAAGGGGGCTATGTAGGAACATGGATTTATATTTAAGAAGTTCGGTGAAAGAGTTGTTTACCAAACAAGGAATGAACATTTTTAGTCATTCAAAAACCTATAAAGTGACTGGACATAGGGAGCTATACCAAAGGTCGAACGATTGTTTTTCATTTCTGGATGAGATGTTAAAAATATCGAATATGTGCTAACTCGGCTGAAAATCATTAGAAATGGGTCGTTCCGTAGCGAACTAGTTAAACAAAACTATTTCGCAAAAGGAACGATCGGTACTAGGTGCGGTTCTTTCGTTGAGTAATCATTCCTCTAGATCTTCTCGTATATTACCCGACATGAACTAAACTGAACTATGGAACTAAATGAATGACCTAGTTTCTTTTGAGGAGGGAAGGCCCAGATTTGTTCAGGCCCTGCTCTGAACAAATCTGTGATCAAAGAATAGAAAACCTCATGCTCTTCTATGAATAAAATACCTCCTGCTCACCCACAAATAGAAAACCTCATGCTTTTCGGTGAATAGAATAATTCCTGCTCTTCTATGAATAGAATACCTCCAGCTCGTCTATAAATATGAGACTTTCTGCTCTGCTATGAATAGAAGAGCTCCAGCTCTTTTATGAATAGAAGACCTCCAGATCTTCTGTGAATAGAAGACCTCCATCTCTCCCAAAGAAGCAGTTAGGGTTCTCCTCCTTAGAAGAGTTGTAAAACAATCGATATCTTCAATTCTGTCTTCAATAGAGGAACATAATTCATTGTTGTTATTGTCTCTGTCATTTTCCGCACATTTTCAATGCCATCATTTCTTGAGATAATACTTCCTCCTCTCCCCCACCATATTCATCGATATGGTTTATACTTTAAAACGCTTATTAAATTGTGCAGCATATTTTTTTATTTTTTTGTATAATTCTGCTCGGTTTTTTAGTGGTCCAGATTATTATAATTTTTGTTTTCGTTGTTGTTATTGTTGTTGCTGTATGTGCTCTTTAGTATTTAACTCCAGATGCATTAAATGCCACAAATAGGCGTCTTTACGTTGGCAACGGCTTTCCGGTATGCTTACACATGTCCATATATTAAAACATTTAAGCATAAATGATGCATGGCTTTGTGGTACAACCCCGTGCAGAGGCTTCACACTCCATACCACACACACACGCGAACGCACACACACACAGTGAAAATGTGTTTGCGACAACCAAAAACATAACCACAACATGCTGTTACTGTTGTTATTGTTCTTGTACGTGTGAGCGATGCTGATAAGCGTGAAACCAAAGCAACAGTAGAAATTTTTACCAGCTGGAAGGCTAGAACGTAACTTCACTGCACCACCATCAACCAAACAGAAAAAAAATACTTTATGACTGTGATTATGATGTGAATCTTAGAGCCTTAAAGCTGATGAGCTAAGCAAAACAACAACGAAGAAAGGAAAACAGTATCAGCTTTGAGGACGTCCCCATCTACTGTCGTCCATTCGCTATATGTAAATCTTTTGATACGCAAATGAGCTCCATATATGATCATCAGTATCAACATCAGTTTACCGGAGTCTCATCATTTACTGGCCACATGGACATCATCTTCGGGACG